CCATTAATTCCCTGAATTCTTCTGCAGGGCAATCACTTGCCCCTGTGGCATAAGGCAGCCAGTTATCAAGCACTTGTTAAAACAATCTGTTTATGTAGCTTCAACTCCTTCATTTCCCAGGCTAACTTACATGTTGCTTTCAATTCCTTCTCCTTTTATCTCAGGAAACAGTTCATTCCAAAAAGAGTAATTGCTAATTCTTTCAATCCATGAACAGTTATTAAAGTTCTGAAGTTTATAGTGTCACACTTGCCTGTAAGTTAAGAAACGGTTGTCTACCAGCTACAATAAAAACAGCTTTCAGATTTCTAGAATCTACAGCATTCTGCTTTTCAAGTTATGTATTAGCTGCAGTGCTTCAAGGCTCTGTTTGTACCGTGTAAAATAACAGATGATAACCAATCTTAGACGGATGATTGAGGATTTCTGTGTGAAGCTTTGGTTTAGCAGGAAATCCTTCATAAAATATAAAAGCATTGATTTGGATCTAGAGTTAGCTTTTGAGTTCAGAACGAAGCCAGTGAAATAATTTTTATAATTTATGGACAAATCAATAATAGCCATGGTATCTCATGGATATAATCATGTACAAGAATAAAGGAGAATGAAACAATAGGAGATAGAAAAAACAAGAAATAAAGCATCCATTTTAGTCAAGTATTGACGAATCTATCTACAATGTTTCAACAATAAACTACCGAAATGTAGTTATTAACTTTAAGGGAAAAATGTTGATACATTCTAATCTTCTGACATTATATAGATTTAATTAGAGCAGGACCTGTATTTTTGCATAAAATATCTGTATGGAACTGGCCTTGAGACTGTTTGTTTGGTTATCAAGTTCTGCATGGATAGGGAAACTATAGAGAGTTGTTGTAACTTGTCTAATGGCTGCCATGCATGTGAAATGCACAATGTTGTGCAATGATTAGATGCCTTTATTTAGTTTAGAGTGAGCTTATATTTCTCTTATGCTTCCTGTTACAGAAAAAATACCCACTTTGCCAAACCTGACTCCGCTCCTGATCACAATAGATCCTGACCGGGATAATGTTGAGGCCATGGCGAGATACGTCAAAGGTAATGTTATTGGACACCTCGACAAATTGATAAGCAGAGTCGGGTTATAAATGGTTGAATTTGTGTGTATAGGGAAAGCTAGTCTTATCTACATGAAGTGTAAAACTAACTCTGGTTACATACAAACATTACAAACACGTACATTTTGCATTGTCTGCTGTTTCCACACTTTTTTAGGCACTATCTGTATTTCATCCAAGCTTACTGTATCTTGCGTTCTGAGCCAGCCTTTGCAAAGTTAACTGTTAACCAGCAGTTAACTAATTGAAACTGATTTCAACCCCTTTAGTAGGTTGATTAACTTTTCAAAGAAAAAGAAAATTCTGGAGTTACTCATGAATAGGTCATTAGCATTGACAAAGAGAAAATTTAATGCTTCTGGTTTAATCCTTATCTTAAAACAGGCAGATTGATCTTTTTAACTTATACTATTTTGTATTGTTTCTTCAGAATTTGCAGTGTTTGCAATTTATTTTCAATTTTCTGATTAGTATTTTTGAAAAAAATTCTTCCTTGAGGCCTACTGCTGCATCCATAAGTAAGGAAAAAGAAAATAGAAAGAAAATAAGTATTTAATCTGCTTTGTAATATTGACGTTTTCAGTGCCTGTATGGTGCTAGTGCATAGGACTTCAGCCACTCGATCTTTAAGTTGGCATGTGTTTATTTACAGCTCACACTACAAATTACTTTGGGGTATCCTGAGTTTGTGAAAGCTGCTAGATAAATGCAATTCTTTGTGTTAATGTGTAAGGATTATTTTAAAGGTGTGTATTGTCATGAAATACAAATAAATCTTTGATTCTTTCTTTAGAGTTTTCTCCAAAGTTAATTGGCTTAACAGGGTCCCAAGAGCAAATAGAACAGGTATCGAGGGCGTACAGAGTCTATTATAGCCAAGGACCTAAAGATGAGGACAATGATTATATTGTAAGTACAATTATTGCCATTGGCCAACATTTGATTGTCTTTATTTCCAAAACATTATATGATAGTAACCATTTTTGGGCAGGAGGAGTTTTGCAATCAGTTGACCCCATTTATCCATAGTAGTCATTTGGTATATTTATAATTAATCCTGAGCTCCCCTTTTGTTGTTATTTACATACTTTGCTTCTTCCTGAAACTAGTTAAGATTTCTTGTTTCAGAACTGAATGAATAGTCTGTTCCATTTATGAACTACCTTTTCAGTAAATAAAATTTCCTCCTGCATCTCCTTAAATGAGAAACAGGATACCCTGTGCTTAATTGCTGTGCATGCGGAAAGGTTAACTTGGAATCAGAAGGAAAAAGCTTAAAATGGAGTTGAGGATTATCAAATCAATCATGATCTCATTGAATTGTGATGGGCTGAATGGCCTACTTCTGCTCCTATGTCTTTGTTTTAATGGTCTCAGATGTCCAAATCTGCCATAATTTTAAATCCTATCCCTTCTTAATATTCTCGTTTTCAGAAAGCAAAGGCCCAAAGCAGTGAACCTTTCCTCACACACCATTCCTCCATGTTTTGGAGTAAACTGCATTGTCATCTCTAACTTCTCCAATAACTGAATTTTTGTTCCAAAACAGGAAGGCAGAATTCTGGCCTCACCCAAGCCAAATACAGTTTTAAAATAACTTATGTAGATATATATGTTTATACATGGTCTGGCCAACAGGGAGCAGAAGGTGGGCATCACTAGGTCATTTTTAGGTTGGCAAGATGTAACTAGCCATGTGCCACAGGAATCAGTGAGAACTCAACCTTTTAGAACTTGTTCAAATGTCTTTATGAAAAGACAGAAGGTACGGTTGCGAAATTTACCAAAGACACAAAGATACGTGGAAAGGAAGTTGCAAAGACGACATAAGGAAGCTACGAAAAGATATACGCATCATCCTCCACCACTTCCACCACCTGCAATCTGACCCCACTACCAAGGACATTTTTCCCTCCCCACCCTTATCTGCCTTCCGGAGGGACTGCTCTCTCCGTGACTCCCTTGTCCGCTCCACAATTCCCACCAGCCCCACCGCCCCTGGCACTTTACCCTGCAACCGCAGGATGTGCTACAGCTGCCCCTACTAGTATGTGAGGGGAATTGAACACAATTAGAGAGGTTATGCTTCAGTTGTCCAGGGCACTGGTGAGACTACATCTGGAGTACTACACAGTGTTTTGGTCACCCTATTTAATGAAGGATGAAAACACGTTGGAAGCAGTTCAGGGAAAAGGTTGAACAGGCTTGGTTTGTATCCACTGGAGTTTGGAGAAGTAAAAGTTGACTTGATTAAAACGTATATTACAGAAAATGTATATTAAAACATATTTTTTAAAAATTTGCTGTTTATAGGAAGGATATTATTAAGCAGGAGAGGGTTCAGAAGAGATTTACCAGGATGTTGCCAGGAATGGAGGGTGTGAGTTTTAGGGAGAGGCTGGATAAGCTAGGACTTTTATCACTGGAACATAGGAGGTTGAGGGGTGACTTCATCAAGGTTTATAAAATAATGAGGGTTATAGATGAAGTGAATGGCAGGTGCCCTTTCCCTAGGGTGGGGAATTTCAAGACCAGTGGGCATATTTTGAAGGTGAGAGGAGAAAGATTTTAAAAAAGAACAGAAGGGGCGATTCTTCTTACATATATAGTGGTTCGTGTGTGGAATGAACTTCTAGAAAAAGTGATGGATACAGGTACAGTTACATCATTTAAAAGACCTTTGGATAAGTACATGAATAAGAAACGTTTGGAGGGTTTTGGGCCAAGCGTAGGCAGATGGGACTAGTTTATTTTGGGATTATGGTCAGCCTTGACTGGTTGGACCGAAGGGTCTGTTTCCATGCTATATAACTCTAAATCTTTAATCTAATATAAGATCCTGAGGCATCTTGACAGGCTGGATGTGGAAAAGATGTTTCCTCTTCTGGGAGGATCTAGAGCTAGGAGTCACTAAGTTGTCCATTTAAAACAGTGTTGAGGCAATTTTTTTTATCTCATCCTAAAAACTCTCTTCCCAAAACGATGGTGGAAGCTGAGTCCTTGAATACTATTAAAGGAGAGGTAGATAGATTCTTAAGCAAGGGGATGCAAACTTGTAATAGCTAGGCAGGAATGTCGTTTTGAGTTACAAACAAATCAGCCATGAACCCATTCAATGTCTCTTGCTAAACATCCCAACATTTTTTTAAGCAGTCAGGAAGCATTGTTTTAGTGACCTTTCCAATAAAACTCCAAGATCTCCGTCCTGTTACAACATCTCAAATATGGTCCCATTTAGGACATAATCCATATTATCGTTTTTTCCTGATAAATCTCATGTGTTTACATTTCATTATATTGCGTTGTCTCCACCAACTGACTGGACCTGTCCTTTAAAATCATGTACATTGACATTCATGATTTGCTACTGCTCCTTCTTTAGTGTTGGCTGTAAATTTGAACACTGTCGACCAATTGGTTCCTCTTAATCTGTTATAAAAATATAAACAGCGACCTTATTACTGAGACTAGCGTCCCTTCACTGGTTGTCAATTAGATAGCTGCCTATTCACTGTTATTTGTTTTCTGCAAATCAACTATTTCAGTCTATTTTAATCCATTCCTATTTATCTGATGGGTTTCAATCAAATGCATTATCCTGTTGCGTTGGACAGTGAAAGATATCTTCCTGAAGGTGAAGTAGTTAACATCTATTCAATAGCTGCCCTAACTGTTAGGTCTGCACAAAGAAATCCAGTAAGTTAGTCAAGTATGACCTTCTACTCATGAAAGCTTTCTTTGACAATTAGCTCATGCCTTCAATGTGCTTCCCTATGCTGTCCTTCGTAAAACCTTTTCAAACACTTTATTAAAAGTGTAAAACTTACCAAGTTAGACTACAAGTCTACAAGTGATGGATGACCCTTCATTGCATTTTATTTTGAAATTGTTGTCTCATTGTATATTTTCCAATCCTTGGGACTGCTATGAATTTTGAAAAAATATTTGTCAGAAGACCTGTAGTCAATTCCTTCAGAATTCTAGAATGAAAGTTATCATCATGTTCTGATTGATTATTACATTACAGATCAAAAAGACTTATACAGAGGCATAAAGATTACATTGCATAGGGTTTGCGCTAGGCAAGATCAACATTAGAAAAGTCAGCGTTGTTTACCTTCAGTTTCTCTGATTAAATTCTCTTTTAAGGTCTGAAGAAGATGTCAATTTATGTTATCTTTTAAAATTTTTCCACATTACTTTGGTGCACAGAATTGAGAAATTAGAGTTAAACACTTGAATAATCTCCGTGTGATTGAACAGCATTTTGCTGTACCCATTTTCCAGTGTGCCAGCATCTCTACACCACGTTTATTTTATTTCCGTGGTGCTAAGTTTGATTTTCCCTGTTTCAAATGAATATTGGCTACAAAAGTAGCAAATGCAACAACAGGAAGGAAAAGGCTTCAAAGTGCGTATACATTCTTGATACTGTGGCACACGTACTACAATACCGCTATTTCATTCTCTCACATCCTAAAATAGATGCAAAGGAAGCTTTTACAATGCTAATTTCAAACAAATAATCATAATCTGATCAAGAGAGCTGTGTGGATCATGAAAATTGTTATTAATTAATTCAGTAAACTTTTCCCTATGAGTAAAAGAGCACCAGATCATTCACTCTTTATCTTCCTCAATTTAGATTGAGTTGTAAGTTATTTTGTATTTCTGCATTTCTCCCATTCGAAACTAGTTTATTGTCACGTAAAACTTTTATATACAGCAACTAAAGAGAGATTTTCATTTCTCAGTTGAATGCAGATGCTGGATCTCAGAAATTGAGAGTTTGGAACTGGTTGGGGCCAATTTGTAACTAAACTTTAGCATCAACTGTTGCTTTAAAGACTGAGAGGCTGTCGAATGTTGTCAGTGGTTGTTTTGTTTTATGTGTTATTTTTAAATCTGCTTCTGGATTCCTTTCCTTTAAAAAAGTTTTGAACACCCAAACATACAAATTAGCAGCAGGAGTAGACCATTCAGCCCCACGAACATGGTATATCATTCAATAAGATCATAGATGCTTAGTGCTCAATTCCATAATTCCACATACCTTTGGCTCTCTTGTTAGTTGAGAACCTATCTTCCTTTGTTTGAATAATATTCATTGTCCGTACTTCAACTACTGTCTGGGAAAGACCGATACAAAGATTCATTACTGTTTGAAATAAAATTAGGGAGTTGAAAGTATTTTCAGTTCTAATATAGATACATAAATAAAGGACTCTATTGTAAAAAGTGTTAACTGCCATAATGCTGTCTATTTGTTTCAGGTTGACCACACAATAATCATGTATCTTGTTGGACCCAACAGTGAATTTGTGGAGTACTACGGCCAGAACAAGACGAGTTCTGAGATTTCTAGTTCTATAGCGTCACACATGCGAAGTTTTAAACACAAGTAATGCAAATATTTGATTTGTGCACGTAAAAGGAAAATAGCTAAAATCAACCTGACCATTTCTGTGAAATAAAGAATACTATTTCGAATAAAAAAAACACGAATAGACCGCAATTCTTTTTTTTGAAAGGATACAATTTTGCATATAGTCATCTACTGCTTTTGAAAACATAGGTTGGCAAAAGAAAATAAATCTGTGCGTGAAGTTTGAATCATAGAAATGGGAAATGAACAGGGGAGTAAAGAGAATGTGAAGAGAAAATATGTTGTTTATAATGTTTTGAGTGTTTATTCTCCATTAGAACTCACAAAATCTTGCAGGTGATTCTCGATTAAGACAGTACCAATACTTCTCTCAGCATGTGCCACCTCATCTCGTTCTACACGCTGTCTGTACCCTCTGTCGTCCCACTTTTTCAAACAATGATCTACTCCATTTTTAAATGAGTTTATGGGCACTGCTGTAACTGAGTGGTGGAATTCTGCACCTCCCATTTGTTTTCCAACTAACCTACACTTTAATTAGTTTAAATTTGTGTGCTCCAGTTCTGAGCCAGTCAGCAGTGAAATAAATCTATTGCTATTTAACTTACTATAATCCTTTACAATTATTTTTAATCAACCTGTTCAGATATGTTGGGAATTGAACCTGGATCTTCAACTTCTCCATGCTGTCTTCATTTTACTTATTCTCTCATGAAATGTAGGTGTTACGGGTTAGCACAGCATTTGTTGCCTATCCCTAACTGCAATTGAAAAAGTGGTCATGAACTGCCTTTTTAAACCATTGCAGTCCATCTGGTATAAGGACAGCCACAATATTGTTAGCAAAGGAGTTCCAAGATTTTGAACCAGCGACAGTGAAGGAACAATGATATAGTTCCAAGTCAGGATGATATCTGACTTGGAGGGAAACTTGCAGGTGGTGATGCTCCCCAGCATCTGGTTTAGGTGGCAGAGATTGTGGGTTTGGAGGGTGCAGTCAAAAGAGAATTTACAAGTCGCTGTAGTGTAACTTCTGTCTGGTGTCTTACGACTTCAGGTGTATTTTCTCAATGGCTTTCCTCAGTATTAGCAATGGAAAGCGCTGCACGAGCTGTGTAGCTAACAGCCATGACACTGTTTGCCCTTTGGGCTTTGACATAGCCTACAGGAAACCATTTTGAAGCAAACAATTTTCCTTGGATTGTTTAATGTAACCCCATCCACCTAAACCATTGGAATAGACAGATGGCACCTTGTTTAAATGAGGCAAAGCCAGTGACATCTCTGACTGAGAGGGCCTCTTGGCCTAGTTACTAAGCTTTATCATGGTGTGGAGCCCCATCCTGCAATCTTCTGACTGAGAAGTTTAGTGCAACCAATTGAGTTTGGTGAGATGGGGATAAAATCTTTAATGCTTGCTTTTCTTGAGTATCTGCCTACTTGGAAGACCAAAAGCCGTGCTCTCGTTTTAAGAAAACTGGCATTCCTCTTGGTCCTCAGGCAGGAGATCATACTTTAATGTATTTGCCCCTGCATTACATTAGCTGCCCCCTCAAATACAGGGACGGGGTAGTCATAGGAACATGGTCAATTGAACAGAATGACAGCTGAGCTTGATTTTTCCCTTCCTATACTTCTGAAGGTCTTGATAAACAGGAATTGTGTGAAATGTAGGAAATATTTACCTTCCTCATCGACCCTTGTCCCTTACAGTACAATTTTGAAGTTCATTTTGAAGAGTCAGAACTTTGCAACAAGTGGGTTTATTGCTAGTTGCAGAGGGAATAGTTGTGGGTTACTTATAGGGTTTAGAGATAGTTATAGACTGGATTTGCTAGTTAGTGTCTTGGTTAGATCCCCACTCAACGAACAACACCAGAGATGCTGGCGTATATGAAGTGCTGCCTCAAAGTTGTCTTTCTTCAGCAGGAGCACTTCCTGTTCTTCGGAAATATCAGTGACCAAAACCAAGATGGCTAGAGAGAGCAAGCAGACAGGTCACATGCTGGACTTTGGTTTCAGTGTGACTGGATAGCACAGGCCAGGGGCCCAAGGAGTATATTGGACTCATGACCTCTTATTAGCCTGGCAAAGTCTCTGGTCAAGCCAAGGATCAGTCTGAGTCTGCTGGATTACAGATATATACCCTACATATCTGACACAAAAACATGAACATATTCTGGCAATGTTTCTTTTGGACTATGGCTTTTCAACAGTTAACAGAATTAACCTGTAAACACCATTGTTCATTTAACCGTGTCAAAAATAAATATGAGAGACTATGTGCCTGGTTATGTTGAGTATCTAGGATATTCTAATGAAAATCTAAACTGCCAGGGACAAATCAGTGTTAAATGATTCTACTTAGTACCATGAGCTAAGGTCTACTTTAGTTACTATTGGAGTTGAATTAAGGTCAGTCATGCAGGAAAATCTCCAAGAAATGACTTAATTGTGCAAAAGTCACCCCCATAGGATTAATGTCATGTAAATTAAGTAAGGCTTAATCCATCTATTATCGTTAACTATTTCTTTGACTGGGATCAGTTTTCTTTAAAGCCTATTAAAAGGGCAATGAAGTACATTAGGTAAAATAAACTCACCGCTGGGTTTCTGTTCCTTGGAGCATTGCACAGACTTTAATCATCAAGAATAAAGTTACTAAAGCACGATAAAATGAAACGCTGTCTAGAATCTTTTCAATGCTTATAGGGCCACCGTGTTTGAATGACATGTTCAGCAGTTTACTCTTACAGAAAAACAGTATTGACTGTCTCACATTGGTATGTGAACAATTGGGAGCCATTATAAAAATTGTAAATGTAGAATTATTCCTCTCTAGTCAACCTCGTAATTATCAGTATTGGTCTTTTTTTTACAGTACTTACCAATTCTTTTGGCGAATTTGACTAAAAGTGAGCAATCAAATTTGAAAATTAAATTCAACTTTTAGATTGTAAAATTGCCAGAAAGTTTATTGGAATAAGAATTACAACTTTTTTTTTTCCTGATTTTGAACATAATGGCTCAGATTGCATGGGGCTGTCAGCATTCACTCTGTGTTATTATAGCGTAAATCAGACAGTGACTTCCAGATAGCATTCACACTCCCACCTCCCCAGGACACAACCAGAGTCTCTACTATTGCCTGTCAGCCAGACCAGACCACTGCAACCCAGTTTAGGATAATGGATATGGATTTGGAATCTTCCAGACCCAGTGCTGCTCAACATTATCCTTCATCTGGAATCTCCTCAATGAAGATCAGTAAGGTTAGCACTGCTGCCTTATAGCGCCAGGGACCCAGATTTGATTCCAGCCTCGGGTGACTGTCTGTCTGAAATTTGCATGCTCTCCCCGTGTCTCCGTGGGTTTCCCCTGGGTGCTCCGCTTTCCTCCCACAAGCCAAAGGTCTGCAGGTTAGATGCATTGGCCATACTGAAATTGTCCATAGCATTCCGGGATGTGTAGGCTAATTGGATTAGCTATGTTTATTGTGGGGTTACAGGATATGGTAGGGGGCTGGGTCTGGGTGGGATGCTCTTCAAAGGGTGGGTGTGGACTCGATGGGCCAAATGCTGCCTTCTGCACTGTAGAGATTCTAACAGTCTATGAAATATCTGTCACCCATTCTACAGCCATTCAGTCGCATCTTATGGGACAAATACACATGGAAGGGGACTAAGGGAATGCACAGGAGTAATTATTTTCGTATGCATTATGTAATATTGAATTTAAGAAATTGGATTAGGATTTGTGTTTTCCATTGGTTCCCACTCATGTTGAGGACATCTATAGTAGGTGATAGATGAAAAGTAAGGAGTTTAAGTGAATGGGTAGGTGTGCTCAAGATTACTGTATTGCTCATGAATTATTTGGTCACATTGAGCCTGGGCAGTAAAGTGCTGTCTCTGTTGTCTCTTCCATTCCTCTTCCCAATTCGTCATTGCTTTCAATTCCAGTTGCACTACTTTATCCTCTTCCCTTTCTTCTTGTTCCTACTGCTCAGAATCCTGTGTGTTAGGTGAGAGCAAATTACCCTCCTTCCAGTGGTCAGTTTGTGCAGCACACGACAAACATCCATATGTACAAAGGACACCATCATAGATCTTGCTGTTCAATCAGCTGAAAGCTGCAGAGTCCTTCCAGAGCAATCCAAGCACCAGAAGCATTTCTTGAGATCAATAATGTGACATCACACTTCTCATTGTAAGTCACATTGTGTGTGGATTTTTGCACCTAAGTCATGAGCCACATCATAAGTAAATAAACCTTGTCATTCAGTAGACAGCTTTTGATTTACCATGCCTGAAAACAACAAGTGCTGGAGATCACAGCAGGTCAGGCAGTATCCATGGAGAGACAGCAAGCTAACATTTCGAGTCTAGATGACTCTTCATCAGAGCTAAAGTGAAGTGTGGAAGAGACAGCATTTATGCTATAGTTGGGAGGGGGGCGCTGTATAGGGTGGTGGGGTGTAGAGTGCTGGGGGAGAAAAGATGTTGATAGTTCAGATTAAGTGATTGCAACGTAACTTGCCGTGGTGCGGGGTGGGCTCAAATTCAGCTGTCAGAGCGAAGTCACAGAATGAAGGACTCATGACTGCTGCCAAGTTACTAGAAATTCACCAGCAGGAATCATTGTCTGTGGTCATTAATGAGCTGCACATTGACAGATTGGAATCCTTTTGGTTTGGGAAATTGACAGAGTTCACATATCACTTATATGTCTAGCAGTAATCTGGAGGGAATCAGGCGCATTAAAGTTGGAGAT